TTCGCCTAATGGCCAACCGGGCTGGAGGCCTGAGATCGGAGCCGGAGACGGAGACGGAGTCCTGCTGGCCGGCAAATGAAAAGGTCAAATGGTCAGTGAAAACTTGATGATGATTGTGCCTCATTAAAGCAGATGGCCATATTTTTTGGGGTTTAATGATTGCGTGGTGGCTTATGGAGCGTAAGGAAGTGCAGGGAAATGGCCTGAAAAATATTGAAGAACAAGATTTTGCCAGCGAGATACACATGTTATTTCCTGCGGCAGCCTTTAAACAATGGTTCTATTTTTATCCCTCTTCAAGGCTGGCTGTCTTAAGAGGTACAGTTGGCTCCTGGCCTAAGAATTTTGAAAGGACAAGACACAGAATGAGTACCGTTAGGTATTCGTGGCCATAATAGACACCTGTCTCTCACGCCTCGACTCTGTCCTCCGCCTTTTGGTATCAATTAAGCGGCGCTGACTGGCGGTCAGACCTGGCGTCTCAACCCTCTTCAACCCATCAATTAAACCATATAAATTTCGTCTCTCGTGCACTGTCACACAATCTAGGTTTGAATTTGGCAAGCAATTTATGTATCTAATTGTTCATCCAGCTTAATTTATGGTAAATATTTCAAGGAATTAAATTTGGCTTAACCAAACTGATTATATTTAATAACAAGAATGGAAGCTAACTTCGGCACGCCGAAGTTTGTATACCCTTGCAGATTGGTTTTGATGTTTATATTATAGATTTAAATGCTGAAAACACACACAAAACAGAGTTTCATTACATTTTACCTATACTTATTATGTTTACAGTTTGACAGTTACAGTTTTACATTCCCAGCTTTATATTTTCTCTACATTTACCGATCGTTTATATGGCAGCTATATGATATAGTTGTCCGATTTTCATAAAATTTTTACCAAAATTCTGAAATAATAAAAAAAGCTTATATCTAAAAGTAGATAAGAATATGTTGAAAAACAACGAAGTTATAATTATTTTCCTATTAATTTCCCGATCGTTCCTATGGCAGCTATAAGATATAGTCGTCCGATTTTCATAAAATTTTTACCAAAATTCTGAAATGATAAAAAAAGGCTATGTCTCAAAAATTATGCAAAAATATTGAAAAACAGCCAAGTTATAATTTTTTTTCTAAAAATTTATCGAACATTTGTTTGGGAGCTATATGATATAGTCGTCCGATCCGGCCCGTTCCGACATATATAGCAGTGAGAGTATATAGAAGACTATATGCAAAGTTTTATTCAGATAGCTTTAAAACTGAGGGACTAGTTTGCGTAGAAACGGACAGACGGACGGACGGACGGACGGACGGACAGACGGACGGACAGACGGACATGGCTAGATCGACTCGGCTGTTGATGCTGATCAAGAATATATATACTTTATAGGGTCGGAAACGTCTCCTTCACTGCGTTGCAAACTTCTGACTGAAATTATAATACCCTGCAAGGGTATAAAAATCCTGCTGAAAAAGTTTTTACATATATGAGAAGGTTCTTAAACTAACTTTAAATAAATCCTTTCCATTCAGATTAAAACATAGCTTGCTATTAAATATGGCTCCAGGTGATACTCAGATTTACTGTCACGTTTTTCCATTTAATGTATGCAAACTAGCATAAATTCTGAGAAAAATATGTGAGGGAATATTTAATAATTACAAATTAGTTAATTGCTTTTATTCTCTGAAAATGAATTTCGTGGAAAATTTGCATAGAATGGCTGTGTTACTTTTTCACTCAAGGTTCCATGTATCAGTCTGATTTAAAATAAATAACAATCAAGAATTCTGAGAAATGGAGCTAAGACATCGGTGCTTGCCTGGTCAGGCTTACGTTTATTGTTAATATTAATTATAAATTTTACCTTGTGTGCCCACAGAATATATACACAAATGAGAAAAAACAATATGTGAAAAGCAAAGAAGAATGCACAACATTCAAAGCCCTTAAACAAAAATGAAAACACAAACAAAACACAGTTAACTTTTCTTCTATTTCCCCCGGTTATCCTGAACCGAGTTTTCCATATTTTCCTTCGGTCCCATTTTTTGCCAACCTACATTTTCGGTGTCTCTCATCTTTGTTTTTGTTTCGCTTGCTTTTGTGTTGTTTACCCTTTGGTTTTTACCGTTCGTTTGTTGTCCGTCGTCCGCCATGTTTTTCAGCCAAATTTTGAAAACAAACGTAAGGGAAATAAAGGAGAGAGGGGTAGCGGAGGAAAACAAGTTGATTGGGAGCAACGCCGAGGTCTAGGGGTGGCCAAACCTTTTTTTTTCTCTCCTTTGACCTTTGGCCAACGAAGCTGACCCGAGAGGAGAGGGGTGTGAGGGTGGGGATGGGGAGGTGGCATTGGGAGGACGCTTTTACCTGGCCCACCACCCGGTCATGTCCGTGTCATCGTCGTCATCAGCAACGCCTCTCTCCTTGTGCGGCGAAACTTTTGAAATTATAATTTAATTTGAATGTCATTAAAATTTTCGCGCTCTCCGCTGTCACCCTCTAACGTTCATTTTCCGGCATTCGCTCTTCCTTTCGCTGGGCTATCATATCCGTGGCAGAGTATACCTGGCATTTTCCTGCCAAAAGAAAATAAAGCAATGCGAAAACAAAGCATTGGAAACTATACAGTACTGGTATTTATGCAAGGAAAATTCTCAAACAATAAACACTTATTTAAACGACAAAAATCTTATAAATTGAAATTTGTTGTTTATGCTTTTCCTTATTAAGTAAACGAAAATTCCATTAGAATACGAATGGAATTTCATATTCAGGAAAGCAATAGAGTTTTAAGTTTATAGTAAAAGTTATTTTGTAGGTTTTTTTAGAGAACTGGAATATATTTTAATGAACTCTTTATGTTGTTGATAGATCATATTTTTCTTTATATTTTATTGTAGATCCTTGTTTTTTTAGTTCGTTGTCCTTGACATTTTTTAAGCGGCTTCCACGAATTAAAAGGAGACAGCTTTTTAGAGTCAAACACACATTTTCCGGAGGCTTAGAGGCAGCTCAAGCCAACTTTGAAGTTGCAACTTTTATGACCACCCCGCAGTTGGCAAGAAAAATAGCTCGTGTCAGCTGAAACTAAGCGCTTATACTTTCGAGCTCCCTGGCTTCGGTGGTCGTAAAATATAATAAGATAAATACAACTGTGCTCACGACTGCCGACTGCTACCCCCTCAAAGAACCCCCCGCTGGGTAGATGTGAAAAATTTGCATTTATGGAAAAGTTTTAGTAAAAACTGCGAGTCGAAAAGTGAAGAGGAAAAACTGCTGCAGCCGCAAGAAACTAGGGTAATATTCACTTAGACCAGGACATCTTATCTTGCGGCGAACAGGCGAGCTTGTAAATACTGCGGACGGGTGGAAAAAATTCAGCAAAGTAAAGATTGCGACAGTAGCCGTGGAAACCCGGGGAAAACTCCAAGAACGTGTAGAAAATTGAGCTAATTTAGGTGGGAAAGCGAGAGAGCGGGGAAAAATTAAATTGCCAACTTGCAACTCGCATTTCGGTGGCGTCTTAATGCCATTTTAATTGTGCGGCGAAATAACATTTAAATTACTGCGGCGCCAGCTAAGAAAGTCTCTTTGCTCCTTTGTCCTTTTGCAGACAAGTTGCTCGGCACAAAGGAGCCAAAAGGGTCCTTAGGACTGGGGGCACTGCAGCTGCAGGTCCTGACAGAGCAGGGCAGGGGCCGTAGCAGCGGAGTTATTACACGAGCTCCGTCTAATGGGCTGTCAGCATGCAAGGGTGGGTCCTCCTTACTCCTTGCTACCCGTTTCCAAGTCAAGTTTCCTGGCTCAATTTGACGCCAGGAGTTGCTGCAACCCGAGAACGTCAAGGACAGGGGCTGTAAAAGCTATTTGCTACCGAGAACTATTTGTTTTTTTCCAGCCAAACTGCAGCCTCCGGTACTGAATTTATCGACCAATAACAAACAACTTTATTGTTTTCCCAGCGGATGAATTTCCAGGTCGTAAAACATGTATATTATTTGGGTTTAAGTTCTTCCTTGAATATATAGCGTAAATCTAAATGTATCTTAAAACTTACTTATTTTCTTGTTCCTTGTTAAATATTTTATGAGAATAATTAAATATAAATGTGTAATTTACTTAGAAATACCTTTAACACAAGTGTCAAATGAGTAAAATATTTTCACAACATTTTCAGTGAGTTCCCTTCCTTTGGTTAACCCGACTTTGCTTGGTTTGAAAGGATATTTGCTTAAATCGGTCAAGTGACTCTAATGAAAGCATATAAGAAAATATGTTTAACGACGTTGCAGGCAAAGCCTTAGAAAACGATATGCGCCACTCGAGAGAATCCTGTGAGTGGCTCCGCAGCAGGTGTGTGTGTGTGTGTGGGTGACCCACCGGGTGGTGCGGTGGTGCCAAGTTTGGGTGGACTTGGATGGCACTCAGGACTTTTGAATGCAAGCCGAGACCGGGAAAGAAGGAGCTTTGCATCTTAGCTCAAGTGGTAAACACACAGATACACACACACACACACACTGACGCCAAAGCAAACACATAAATATTGCAGCATACAAACGGGGGCAGACGACACAAGCACCCAACAAGTCAACTCGCACTCGTACTTGTGTTTGTGTACGTGTTCGTGCGGTGGCAGTAGCTGTGCACCGATAAAAACGTGTTTTTTTTAATACTATTATTTAAGAAACTAAATTAAATTATTAAATTTAATAGGTATACTAACAATTATAATTTAATTTTGGCTCAACAAGAATATGTATATTGGTTTTGCTAATATTTTCTTTATAAATCTATAAAATACCTCATATTATTAAGCTCTATATTAGGGATATGTCATATAATTTAATGAAATAAATTAAAGAACAAAGTAAATTTCCTGCTTTGGTCCTTGTTCTCCGTGCAGAAACTAAAGCCAAATACAGGCCAGACCCCGGTTAGGAAACCAAGACAAATAGCATAATGCCTGTTCCTTCTATTTGCAGTTCAAACACAGTCGAAGCAGGAGAACAAAGGACCAGCAGCCCAGGAGCGGCGCTGCAAAAGTGCAACAGCTGCACAGGAAACCGAATTGAACCGAAAGGCAAGCAGAAGCGAGGCCGAGCCGCACGCACGGAAGCCCCCAATCCAAATTGAAATAAAAATTCAAATCTAAGCCAGGATCCGAGACCAGTTCCAAGCCTGAGAGTTGCCAGATTCCCGATTTCAACGCTGCTGCGGCGGGAGAATGTGTAGTGCAACACACGAGCGGCAGCTTCAAGTGGCAACTGTGGCAGCAGCGGCGAACACAACCGGATAATAAGTCGTAGTAGATGCGGCCAGCTGCGCCGGGCAGGTATCCCGTATCCGCCAGAGACACCAGCTTCGTTCCGGACCGTATCCAGCGTGCAGCAGCTTCCGCGCAGCGCAGCCCGAGAGTGTGATTAGTGCCAGTGACGTCACGCCAAAGTAGGACACCGCCGCCCATCGCCGACCGTCGCACCGCCCGTCGCTCCGCCCTGCGCACTAGCGTCATGGCCTCCGTACGGCAGAGCAGCCTTCTGCCCGCCACCTCCTCCTCCTCCATCCTTTCACTTCCGCTGTCGCTGCCGCTGCCCCTGTTCCTGGTGCTGTCGCTGCACCTGACCGGCGTTTGCGGCGTCATCGACCGCCTGGTGGTGCAGACATCCTCCGGCCCGGTGCGCGGCCGCTCGGTGACGGTGCAGGGACGCGAGGTGCACGTCTACACGGGCATTCCATATGCCAAGCCACCCGTCGAGGATCTGCGCTTCCGCAAGCCGGTGCCGGCGGAGCCCTGGCACGGCGTCCTAGACGCCACACGTCTCTCCGCCACCTGCGTTCAAGAGCGGTAAGTCTACTTTCGAAAATATCCATTGATTTCCGGATTTGTGTTTGGTTAGCAACCAAGAGGAAAAAAAGAGAATTGTCGTCACTAGCTCAGCGAATTTCAAAGAGGCTTCAGGGGATTTTCTGGGGGCTATATACGAAAAGACGGCTTTGTGCGCTCCACTTGTGCGTTTGACCTAGAAACCGAATCGCACCGCGGCTGCAGTGGCAGCTTGCTGTTGACCTAACTGTTGCCAGTGACGTCATGCGGCATTCGAAATGCCGGCCAAAACGGAAAAAAATGCAAAAAAAAATTGCTCTGCATGTTGGCCCGGCCAATTGCAGTCGCACTCTGATTGCCTGCCTCTGTAGAGAGGGAAAATATTATTTGCCAAAATATAGCTGATGACGTAGAAGCATTTGGTAAAGGGAAAACATTTTAATTCAAGCAAGTTTAGGACCTCACAAAGCAGGTACAGTAGTAGACTCTATTTTCTATTTAAAATCCCTCAAAATAAAGATAATATATATCTTACACTTCTTTTTGGTCAGACTCTTTTGGGTTTGGTTTACTTTTCCTTTTGAAATAGGAAACTAAAGTTTTTCCAGAGCTAGACAGAGCCATACGCCTAAAGGAAAAGCCATCAAAGTGTGTGTGGCAAAAGGAAATTAGAAAAATATAGTGATAAAGGCGAATGACAGCTGGCAGAGAAAGCCGTAGAGAAATCGCCTCTCGCTCTCTCCGTCTGTGATAAATTACTTTTATGCGAAATGGCAAAGTTAATTTTAATGGACACGAAGCTAAACACACCCAGACACATACGCTGGCCCATGTGGGCGCCTGCAAAGGTAACATATCTACGGAGACGGACAGACTAATGCTGAGCTTTGTGCGAATGCCTAGGATATCGATTCGAGCGATTCAACATTTATAAGGCGGAAAAACTATGTCAAATTGTAGGGGATAGCAATGGGCGCTGTGCTGTATGTTGTGAGTGTGTTGGAAGTGTGTTTGCTAGTGTGCCAGAGTGAAAGCGGAAGAGAGCAAATAAAAATAAATAACACAGCTGGGTAGTTTTTCGTAATTGGCATGACCGAATTCCAGATGGGGACAAACAGCCTTTGATTTGCATATGGGTCAGTAACTAATCAAGAACTCTCTCTCTCTATGTTTCTCCTTTCCTTAACCCAGTTACGAGTACTTTCCGGGCTTCTCCGGCGAGGAGATCTGGAACCCCAATACAAATGTGTCCGAGGATTGCCTGTACATCAACGTCTGGGCGCCGGCCAAGGCACGTCTCCGCCATGGACGCGGTGCCAACGGGGGCGAGGTAAGTCAATCATCTAAATTTAGTCATTTATTTGTTCCTGTTTCCGAATTTAAATTGAAAGTTTACTAACTCTCCACAAAATCAGCACTCGAATGGCAAGCAGGCGGACACCGACCACCTCATACACAACGGTAATCCGCAGAACACGACCAATGGACTACCCATTCTGATCTGGATATACGGTGGTGGCTTCATGACCGGTTCGGCCACGCTGGACATTTACAATGCCGACATCATGGCTGCCGTGGGCAACGTTATAGTGGCCTCCTTCCAGTATCGAGTGGGAGCCTTTGGGTTCCTGCACCTGGCGCCGGAGATGCCGTCGGAGTTCGCTGAAGAGGCGCCCGGTAACGTGGGCCTCTGGGATCAGGCCCTGGCCATTCGCTGGCTAAAGGACAACGCCCACGCTTTTGGCGGCAATCCGGAATGGATGACCCTGTTTGGGGAGTCGGCGGGTTCCAGTTCGGTTAATGCGCAGCTCATGTCGCCGGTGACCAGGGGCGTGGTCAAGCGCGGCATGATGCAATCCGGCACCATGAATGCACCCTGGAGCCACATGACCTCAGAGAAGGCTGTGGAGATTGGCAAGGCGCTGATCAATGACTGCAACTGCAATGCCTCCATGTTGAAGGTGAGTTTAGGAAAGAATTTCCTAAATTAAGTTGAATATATAGTTTACAATTCCAACAAAATCTTCCATAAATATAATTTATATTAATTGCGTTTCACTTCTTCCAGACCAATCCCGCTCATGTGATGAGCTGCATGCGATCGGTGGACGCCAAGACCATATCCGTGCAGCAGTGGAACTCGTACTCTGGCATTCTCAGCTTCCCCTCGGCGCCGACCATCGACGGGGCCTTCCTGCCGGCGGATCCCATGACGCTGATGAAGACGGCGGATCTGAAGGACTACGACATCCTGATGGGAAATGTCAGGGATGAGGGTGAGTAGCCATCGACATCGTCACGAGCATCTTCCTCTGACTTTATCCGGCGGTCTGTCGTTATCTCCCCCTTATCCTTTTCTGGTTCGTCCTTGCAGCTATTGTTGCATCCTCTGCTGCTGACGTCAGCGCTAAAGTTTATCCAAAACAAAGTACTACCCATTGCCAATGTTGTTTGCCAAGCTTTTTAGCCCGGCATCCTTCGTCCTGCCCCCCCGGCTCCCTGGAAACTTTTTTGCTACAGCTCACAGCTCGCAGCTCTCGTCCATTTGAGATTTTATTACTTTTCTGCAACTATACATATATTTATGTACAGTTTTTGTTGTGGCCTGGCCTGGCCTGGCTGGCAGACAAAATGCATTTTATTCTTGTCGTTATACGGGCCGCAGAGTATGGGATTAAGGATGGCAATGGGGCCGAGGCGCTGGCTTAGCCTGGCTGCTTTTCAGAAATTTTCCCCTGCACATTTCGAGCACTCGTAATGCATTCGGTACTTTCTGTTGGCTCGAGTGCTTAATTTTTATGGTTTATTGCATGACAGGGAGGGGTTCCAGTGGTGGTTACATTGTGCTCGGGATAGTTTCAGTTTTGCTGTCACAAAACTGCACTTTGTATAATGCTCTGTACTGTTGTTGTTGGCTTACCTACACACAAATTAAGTATTTTAAGAACTTTACATTTTAAATGCCAAGTGTAGCCGGTAAAAGTTTTTTCTACCATATTAGTTTGTTGAAATAGACTCGCTTGATGATGATGATTAAGAACTACTGCAACTACCAATAAAGTAGGAGATGGCTCTTTCGACCTATCTCAGCTAAAAAATCTTCGCAAATTAGGGTTATGTTTTAATACCTTTCTATCTTAATTATTTCCATAACAATAATTCACAAATTAAAAGCTATGCCAACTTTAAAAATCGAGTGCTGCAAGTGTCAACGCTCCGGAATCTCTGGAGCTAAAATATACCGAGGCGAAACACATAAAGACGACGAAACTTGCCAGACTCGCCCACGCAAATTGCGGTGACCCCGGGAAAAATAAGGAAAAACCTCCGTACACAGACACACACGCACTCGCACAGATACGCCGCGGCGCTCAGCTGTGCGGGACGGCATCATAAATTATTTAAATATATCTCGCTCAGGTGACAGCGGGGGCGGTGGGTGGTCTGCCAGAGAGCAACAGCGAAAGGGAAAGCAAAAAGCGAGCCCTCATTTCGATGGGCGGAACGGGACGCGTGAGTGGCACACGTGCCGCAGCTATGTATATCGAGAGGGGCAGGTTCCCTTTTGCGGAGTGGAAGGGGGTGAGGGGACGGGGGAAACTATTTGCCACTCAAAGTCAAGTTAAAGTTCTGTGGTAATTATTTTTTATTAGCCAGGCTAACGAGAAAAATTATTTAAGCTATTACAGGGTCATAAATTCAAAAACTCGTAATACTTTATAGCTTTTCTTATATGTATTTTTTGCTTCTGTAGAGTTTTTTTGTTGTTTAAATCAATATATAACGTGGGTTATATTACCTCTTTTTTATTTTATATGGATTATATGTATCTAAGCAGCTTGGTCCTTCAAAAAGAAATAAATAAAAACAAGTTCCTCGAGTTAATAGGAATACAATTACAGACCTAATCATTTCGCTCGATGGGAAATATTCCTCATGCCAAATGAGCTGCTGCTGTTGATTCTCCCATCATTTTGCTGGCTCTTATTAAATTATATGTATTTTTATGTATAACTGTGTGAAAAGGTTGGCTTTAAACCATCCTTAAAACCCCTTTAAGCCTCTTTCTTGAAGGCAATAAAAGCCTTGTGGTTTTAATTAACTGACAAATAATTTTTTCATTAAATCACATTGCTAGGCCCAGCGAAGTTTTCATTTTCCCTGGGGACAATTGAGATGCCTTGGTAGATTCAACCATAATTTCGTATCCTTCTTCGTATCCTCCGCTGGCTGTTAGTCTTCTCAATCTATGTTAGTGCGTAACTCTTTGTGTGCATTGTGCTGCCAGGTTTTCCGTGCCAGGCCGTGTAAGTGGCGCACTTGTAACAAATTTTCCGTTTGCGTTTTCCTTTTCTTATTATTTCGCGAGCTGCCGCCACCGCAGGATGTCGTTGGTTGGAGTGGGTGCCACTGGGGTGGGTGGTGGTGCTGTGTGTTTCTCGTATAACAGATTGAAGAAGATTCTCGGGGCTTTTGTGCCAGTTCGTGCTTTGGCTCTGGCTTTCCTTTCGATTTTCTTGTTGCTGCTGCTGCCGCTTGTGGGCAGTCGCTGTTGTTGCGGCTGTCTTGCCAGGAGCGGAATAAGCCAGAAGACACGTGTGCTTTTCTGCTCACTTTCACTCATTGCTCACAGCTGCTGCTTTCCGCTTTCTCTCTGCTGCGCTCTCTCTCTCTCTCTCTGTCTCTGTCTCTGTGTGTGTGTGTGTTTGCTCTCTTTTCTATTTTCTCTTGGCCAAAAAGGTGTGCGTGCATGGCCGCCAGGCAACTGCCACCATTTTCCATGGGCAGCGCGGCAGCACCGTTACTCAGCTGAGCGTTTGTGTGCGAGTGTTTGTGAGTTCAAGGTCATCTAGCATTTGCAACAATACGAATACAAATTCAAATACATTACGAAGTGCCGCTCACATGAAAGCATCATTTTTTCTGTTTGTTTTTGACAATTTTGGAGGCCTTTGTTACCCTCTCAGAAGCCAGATAATATATATTATATATTTCTTGGATGCGTTCAAGTGAGCATTAATGTTTATCCAAAATATAATACTATTCTAGTTAAACAATAATTCGAGTATGATAAAAATACTAATAACAAGTTGCAACTCAAAAAATGTTAAGATGATCATTTTAACTTCTGTTTGATTTTGATTTATGAAATATTTAAAGCTAAAGAAGGTACCTCCAATTAATTAGATATTATAAATAAACCTATAAATCAACTGATTAATATTTTAAATATTTATTTCATTGTTTTCTAGTCTAGTTATTTCTGAATTCCTTTCCACATGCAAATTAAATCTTAACAAGAACAGTGATTAAAGATAAGGGAATAACTTAAGCAGGATGACGTTATATATTGATCGTAGGAACTCCTTTAAGTGACTTAAGAACAGATTTTCCTTGGGGCTCTCCGGCTCGCGAGTGCAACGAAACTTTTCGGTGCTTAAATAATTCATTTTTGGTGGCAGTTCCTCTCGAGGTTGCATGCTCCTTACCGAGTGTATGTGTGTGCTTTCGGGAATGCCTCTGCCCAGCAGACAAAAACTCCGTAAAAAATATTAAAAACTGAAGTTTTGCGGACCGCAGGCGGACAAAACGTCCGATTTTAGGCTCAAGATCGGTAGCAAAGTAAATTACCTGTCCTGGGTTTTGTGGCACCAAAACCTCTCATTTTCGGAACACGAACTAATAGCGTTTGCGGACGCTGTGGCGAGACCGGAAACAGTACCGATAGCAACCCCTTTACGATACCCGAAAAAGGATCGTTTGCTGACCTGTGGCAATACCGCAGGAAGTACTGTTTGCGGACCTTTTGACGATGCGTTTCAGATACGTTTTTAATATCTATTTCCAACTAAATTTTTTTAGAATTTCGGGTTTTTTAAATGTAAATAAAACATACATTTATTTATGTTTATCATTATTTATTATTTATCATTATTTAACTTAAAAAATAAACATTTTACTTAAGATTTGTTAATTTCCTTAAAACTAATAATACTTAATACTAATACAAACCGTCCTGTGCATTCTGCTTTTGTGTCTGCTTGCATCCTCCAACGGAAAGTTGTTTTTAAAAGCGGCTGTAAAAATATAAATTATTATAAGTATATACGTATTAAAAAATATACGAAAAATATACATACCTTTGACGGATAAGCATCTCTCGAATGGACATTTTGGACTCTGTCCCAAACCAGGACCATTGGCGCGCCACTTCGTCGGAAATTAAGTCTCGCCAGCATAAATAAATATAAATCTAGTCAATATTAGTTCATTAGTAAGAGATTGTACATATTAATCAATTTAAATTTAACACTTACCGATGAAAACACGTGCGTCTTGTAAAAAACTGTTCACTCACGTCCGCACAACTCGCCGGTCAAAAGGAAAAGAGTCGCAACGGGATAAATTCCACAAACCAAAAGAGTTAAAAGATGATGCAATAATATTTGCCTCTCGCTCATTTGCAGCGAAATAACAAAAAACAGGCAAGCGACAAAAGAAGTAAGGAGAAGAACCGTTCATCGAGTTCTAGAAATTTCGTTGACGACAAGATTTTTAACGCGTGCAGTGCGTTTTAGTGTCCGTTAGCGGGACATTTGCGGCATTTGCACGGGTCCCAGTGTTAGCCCGTTTCAGTATCTGTTTTCGGACCAGGTTTCGACAATTAGGCAAACCTATTGCGGTAAGTCCGCTTTTTGGCCGCCCACTGTACGTTTCAGTGTCCGTTAGCAATACGTTTTCGGTACATTCACGGGGAACGCCACAGTTTTGCTTTTCGTCCGTTTGCGCGTCCGTTTTTGAGCATTCTCCGAACCTAATGCGGAAACTCCGATTCTTTGTTCGCATTTAATATTTTTAGCGGACATTTCTCGGATCCATCCGCACTGAGACCGCTCTTTGCCTGCTGGGTGTGTGCAGGCTTCCCTTCTTGTATGTGTGTGTAAGACAGCTTGTTTGCTCGTTAATTGCTTCGCGTTTCGAGACGGCCAACTTATCGCTGGCTCCGCAGTCGTAGTTGTAGTCGTAGTCACAGCCCCGCGCCCTGCCTTTGGCATGGCCAACGCTCCATGGAGGCAAAGGGAGAGGCAGCCGCTGCTAACTCAATTATACACTCATTAAAACCGTATTTACATTCCGCTTATGTGTGTGCATGTGATGTGTGTAAAGTTCCCGCAAAAAAGCACAGAAAATTTGTGGCCACAGAAAGTGTGTGTTTTTGGCAATTTAATTAAAATTATACGCGATTTCGAGATATAGTTGAAAAGCACACAGTTCTCTAGCTTTCAAAAGGAAATATTGATATTTATATTTATTTATTCATAGAGAAATAATTAAAATAATATGGTTTAAAATCTAAAAAGATGAACTATTATGAGGAGTCCGAAAGATATCAACTTTTCTCAAAAAAAAATGCGTACCTTTCTTCACTTCACTTCTTTAAATAAAAATAAAATCGATAGAAAATGTATATTTTCTTTTATTATCACTTTCACCATTTTTTATCCGAATTTTGTGTGAAATTCTGCTGCTTAAGTTTTACCTAAGAACACCTTTAAGGCGAGCCAACCTGCAAGTGCATTCAATTCTTTAACCATTTTTCTGGGAAATACACATCGACTTTGGCAAACGACAGTTTCAAGCAGCCTTTTCAAGATTGTTTGCAATTCAAGTCAGAGCTCTTCGGGCTTGGCTTTGCATAAGGTTTTGACCTTAATGGAATCGAAGCAAACATAAACACAGAGGGCCAGCAGGATGGATTTGAATTGGGAATGGGTTGCACGTGCCCCACACATACACAGAGACTCTCTCCAACTCGACAGTGTGCTGATGTTGCCGATGTGAATGAGGCTGCTGTGTTGTGTTGCTGCTGTCGCCGCTCATAGGCAGCAATTATGGTTCGTTAGTGTGGCCCGTATTTGAAGTGTGCGAGAAAGACAAAAGCCCGAGAACAACAACTCGGCTAACAACAAGTGCCATAAAAATTAAGTTAATAAAAGGCAACGACGACGAGCCGCTTTGTTCGCTCGTCCTTCTTGTTGTACCCTTTAACCAAAGGGTGCCGAGGTATATTGTGTTCCGGAGATTTACTGTAATTCTTCTTAAGAAATTGATATATTCCAGGTGCGTCTGGGAAATTCTTTTCTGTTTTTCAAAGAATTAACTAGCATTTTTGTTGTGTCTAGTTTTTATTGAGGAAGACGAGGTATTTTATGGCTGGATATTGGCTAGTCCTTGTTTTAGGGTGCACACAAATTTTATTTATTCTGTTTTGCACTCTCTCGCTTACTTCTCCTCTGCCGGTGTTATGGCTGTTGTTGCTGTTGCTGCTGCTGGGTCCTGGGGTTAATACTGAACGCGGTGTCCTTGGCACGGCCCACCACTGCGAGGCGGCATCTTGAAGCACCGTCTGTAGTGGTAATTGTTTTTTCGGATCGGCCAACAGTCTTCCTCCTTATTCCCTCCCCCCATTGTTGTGGCCTGACCTCGCACTGGTGAAGAGATCTCTCACCCGCTCCTCTGTTTCCATTCTGTTTTCCAGGCACTTACTTTTTGCTGTACGATTTCATCGATTACTTTGATAAGGACGATGCAACGGCTCTGCCGCGGGACAAGTACTTGGAAATTATGAACAACATTTTTGGCAAGGCAACCCAGGCGGAACGCGAGGCCATAATTTTCCAGGTAAGTTTTCTAAACACACTGGCAATGCTCTAGGACAGACTCACTTACCGAGATCGCGTTTATGATTTCAAAATGCATTCCTGCAAAATGCAGCCACCCCATGTCACCGGCAGACTTGCAGCGTGATCTAAACACGTTAAATGGACGTCAGCTGCGACGGCTGGCTGATTGAAATGCATTTAGTGGCTTTATTCGTTTACTCTGTCCTGTCGCTAGCAAATTTCATTTTGCGGCACTCTGCGTCATCCGGGGATATGCATTTGACAGCCGTGCCTGCACTAGAGGGGGGACATATTCCGGGATAAGTCGGTCCTGGGAGACTCCGAAATGTCAGTCCGAAACTAGTTGAACGGAAATTGGCCTAACTGACAGATAACTTCATTTCATGATTGTGGCCGGAAAGCATGGAAATAATTTCAATGACCAATTTCAGTGATTGGACATTTCCCCTGGCCAATACAAATTGATTTGTTCATCATCTTTTGGATGCTTTTGCTATCTATGTACTGGGGAATCTTATCTTGTTTATTCCACAAAGCGGAATATATATTTTGAAACTCTCGAGAGGATCTTAGAGGCATTAGGGTTCTTAGACTAATAAAGAAGAACGTTAACGAACCTTTAAAGCTTACTAAACTATAATTCAGTCTTACATTAGATAATATTAATTTGCCTATACGTTCTCTGTAGTTTTAGTCTGATTTATTCTTTCAGAGATCAAGTTTTTCTAACTACTTGCTCTTTTTTTCAGTACACCAGCTGGGAGGGTAATCCGGGTTTCCAAAACCAGCAGCAGATTGGACGCGCCGTGGGCGACCACTTCTTTACCTGCCCCACCAACGAGTACGCCCAGGCTCTGGCGGAGCGAGGTGCCTCCGTGCACTACTACTACTTCACACACGTGAGTACCCATAGCCTTGGCCAGTGTCCACTGTAGCCACTGATTGCGCGGCCTGGCCGCCATTAAATATTTCTCAGCCTTTGACACGTAAGATGGCGTTGAAGCGCGTGCGTCCGATCGAAATGCGGTCAAATTGGGCGCAAGTGGTGCAACGGAATAAAAAACCAAGCCGAAGCGACGGAAACGCAGGCAACTGCAATTTGTTTGTCATTAAAATTGCACACAAGGCTAATGGCGGACAGCAGTCCAGCTCAGATTTAAAGTGGATACCTGTCGCAGATATTCGTGCACTGGGGAAAATGGCTATAAATTTTAGAAAAGTCTTTTCTACAAAAATAATGAGACCTAGTATATGGATTTTCATTGGGAAAACCTCTTATTTATACCCTTACAGGGTATTTTCATTTTAATCAAGTGCTTAACGCAGCGAAAGAGGCCACATCACGCTGAATTATATGCAAATTTGGCTTAGTTAGGATCGTTTCTAAGTCCAATTTCAATCTGCAAGGGTATAAAAACTTCGGCTTCTCAAAGTTACCTTCCGTTCTTGTTAATTTCTGACATACCTCCCCAAGTTTTAATTTGGAATATCCTTTCAAATCTCCTGCATCCTATTTGAAAGACACACAAGCTCATTATTTTCACGTGCACTGTAGCTGCATCATCAGCAGAAGCAGCCATGGCTGCGGAAAATGTCAACGCGACTGTGTAAGCCTTAATTATTAATGTTGGACTGATGGCGGGGCGTTGCCAAAGTCCGAAGTGCGGCTCCGGGGTTTGAGAGGAGAGGAGCTGAGAGCTTCAGGCTAATCTGCAAAACAGAAAGTGAAAGTTTTTTAACCAGAATGAGGTCAGGAGCGGGCTCTAGTTGATAGCTTTTGGCTGAGAATAGCTCAAACATGAAGAACGGTCGCTGTTATTTCATTGTATATAATTATTCAGATAGGGAAAAGTTCAGTAGGGGGAAATCTTTAAGTGAAGGTTAAAGTTGAGATACTTAGGCTTCGAAGGTTAATTACCAAGGAGCTGTTCAGGCTGACGTAAGTTTCTTTTGTTTCTGTTAACCTTTCGATCAATGGTTTATGACCTACTAGATATTGTATGGGGCTTTGCCAACGTTTCAGGCACTTTTCAAATAATGATAAGTTTGTGTTGTCGTTAATCAGTCAGAACCCGATCTTTATTCTACTAGTACCATAATCGTTAAATTACTATCCTCAGTGTGACTGTAATGATTGAAAAATCACTGCTTAGTTATGACATCTACCCTGTCCTCTGTCAGCTGCAATTTCTCCTGGCATGTCTGGCCATTCCGTGTGTATTTTTCAATTAATCAAGCAATTTGTTGAAGACAGCCCGAATGCGTGCAATCCACTTGATTGGACTTCATAATGTCACACCTATCAGGGCAAGGGTCGCAGTGGCACTAGCAGTGGTAGGAGCAGGAGCAGGAACAAGACCAGTAGCAGTGGCAGTCGCAGTTGTCGTTGTCGCAGTTGTTGCTGCGTTGTTGAGCTCTCGGGCAACCTTGGCCGCCATAATTATGGTAACCAAAAGTTTCACGCAACACACGCCTACTAGCTGGGGGAAGAACCCACAACCAGACACACGCACACGTACACACACACACACACACATAAGAACCCGAAGGGCCCCTCGTTGGGCGCCAATTAAACTACACGCACAAGCTCTGGAGGTTGGCTCCGGGCAGACACAGCCACTACACAACTACACAAATGCTGGGGGACGCAGGACCGACAATCGTTACTGGATCACGACCCAGAGGCAACGGCAGTGGCAGTGGCAGAAGCGGGGAAGCGGAGTCGACTAATGAAACTTCAATTTACGAGGTCACGGCCCGCATGCCCTGCACGTGTGGGGCATAATTTCAGTCAGTTATTTGTTTAAACGACTTTGGCTGCGGTGCCTGCTTCTGCTACTGCTGCTGTCGATTGATATCAGCCCAGTTGTAGGCCCAGTTGGATCGGCCTAATGATTAACAAATACGCAGCTCGCATATTGCGTATACGCAGTGTGGACTGTGTGGTATTGATTTTGTGGCGCCGGCTTCGATTCCTTGAATACATACATGTTAATAGCAATGAGTCGTAGTCGATATCGACTGATGATAAGTGGTAATTTGACTGAACGAATCACTGCAGAAGTTAAAGCTGTAGTACGCATAAGGCTCTCTGAGAATGTGATATATCAGATACTCTTCCAGTCACCGTCACTTATTCCTTTGACTATTTACAAGATAATAGTTGTCTTTTTTAGTTCATATATTTAGTAGCTCTAATAGAGTCGTACCAATTTTAAGGACTTTATACAATCTGTTTTCCCCTTTAACATCTTTATATTACTCATACGCATCGTGGTGGGCAAAATGCTCTTCACATTTGATTTACTTTCAATATCTGCCCCTTTTTATTAGTAATAATAAAAACGTTTTCCCGCCGAGTCGTTGCTCTTTTCGATTGATTGCACAATATGCAAACTTGGTGCGTACGGGGAGCAGATTCGACTGCATTGTTTATACCAAATCGCCCGTTAATAATCCAAAAGCCCCGGCAGCAGTTGACAGGACGAAGCTGCTGGCTGTTGGCTAACGGCCGGCGGGATAGGCGACTCCCTGAAATGGAAATGAAGGCAAATGAAATTAGTTTTAATTACAGCCGTCAAGTTGCAGCAACAGAACTCGTAACTCACTTTGCCCATAAACGGGGCCGCGATGGGGCGACAGAGCATGGCAAATGGGGTCGCCAGCTGCTAAAGTGCCTGCCAGATTGTCTATCTGCTTGGCTGCCGGTGGCCACATGCTTGACTGACCAGCTAGGCAGCCAGCCTGCCCACTTTCCTTGCCCCTACCCACACTTCCGCGCTTTTCCCGGCTCCGGCTCCTGTTTCTGTTTCATTTTGCCGTCCTCCGTTGACTACTGCAGCGTGCAACGTGCTCGGCACTTAAATAAGTTTTCCTACTCCACTGCTCTTCGTCTCGGCCTTACTCCACTGTAGTTCACTAGACTCCACTCCACTCCACTTCACTCCACTCCTTTCGACTTGACTCGACCATGGCGTTTCTCATTATGACCTCCGAGTCCAAGTTTTCCTAGCGTTTGCAATTTTGCGCTTAAATCAAAAAAGTTTAGTTCCCCGCTACGGCTGCGTACAATTTTTCATTATTTGCACGAAAAGGCGTTCAGACTGCAGGACCTTTATGGTATGTGTGTCCGTATACATGGGACCGGGTGTCCTGACAGCCAACGGCGGCCAAGTCGCATAAATTTCCAACAGCTTGTGGCAGGAGCAGCTAGAACGGGAGCTGGAGCAGAAGCCCCGCATTACCAGTATTACCCTTGGCATATCCCGGACACTATTCATTATGCGACTTGGCACTTGCCTGCCAGCCTGCCAGCCTGCCAGCCTGTCAGGGTGCAGCTCAAGCAGAGCTGGCCCGGCACGACTGTGGCCAACTCAAGTTGAATGGTTAAGTGGTCAGCCCACGGGCCACGGCTCAGAGCTCATAGCTCTCAGCCATTGGCTTTTGGGCCTAGACTTTCAGCCAGGCTTTTGGGCCAGCCTAGCGGCCAGCAGGATTGAGTTGGTGGGGTTTTCTTTTCGCCTTGCCTGAGATTGCACTTTACAAGGGTGATTGCCTAATTAGCATTTTCATTGAAGATACTCGCTGTGTCAAAAAGGAAACATATATCAAGCAGTATAGCAAAAGAGAGTGCGGCTTCATTTCGCTTAAGTGAGCCGAAAAGAAAGCTTAAATAGGATTTGGTTCTATTACCGACATAATAGGTGTAACGACATGAATATATGTATATAAAAGATTTTCATAAAGGATAAAGGTATTACAAGTCCAAGTTAAACTTTCTTAAAGGTGATATAGTACAGTTTGAAGGATTATATCTTTAAATACAAAAGTATATTCTTTATGTGGTCCCTCTGGGCGTATACGCAATGTACCCATATACGCAATGCACGTATGTACACTTACTGCAAAGAAAAAAGAAAACCTACTCGAAATTCCGCAGCCCCTCGAATGCAGCTGCAGTTGCCGTGCCAAACGGATGGCAGATACGTGAAAATGGCAGCATTTAATGCCGCCGCCTCCTGTCAAGGGCGACAGAGGCACTGACTGCCGACCAGGCATTTACTTATTTATTCATTCGTTTTTTCTTCGCCGCTCCAGTGCGCGGCATGCTGCGACAATATTTACAATTTACAGGGAGCGCGCGAGCCAGCCAGCCAGCCAAGGCAACAAAATCAAATAAATAAATAAAAAGGGTAGATGTTTATCTGCATAATTTCTGGCCGGGTTTACGATAGCGACTGCTCGGCTCTGCTCTGCCCTGACTCGTTTTCATATCCCACTTTGTTTTTGTTGCCTCTTTCAGCGCACGAGCACATCGCTGTGGGGCGAGTGGATGGGCGTGCTGCACGGCGACGAGATTGAGTACTTCTTTGGCCAGCCGCTGAACAACTCCCTGCAGTATCGGCCTGTGGAGCGGGAGCTGGGCAAGCGGATGCTCAGCGCGGTCATCGAGTTCGCCAAGACGGGGTGAGTATGGCGAGCTTTTCACCTCGCCGATGGCTTAGCTTTTATGGCAAACCTAGTCAAGTTTTACACCACTTTGCCATAAAAAAGCTGTCACTGAAATTTAAAAATTTTAATAAAATATAATCTTAAGAGTTTTTCAAATAATTAAATAAATATATTTACAGCAACCCCGCCCAGGATGGCGAGGAGTGGCCCAACTTCTCCAAGGAGGATCCCGTCTACTACATTTTCAGCACGGACGACAAGATCGAGAAATTGGCTCGAGGTCCTTTGGCGGCCCGCTGCTCCTTCTGGAACGACTATTTGCCGAAAGTCAGGAGTTGGGCAGGTGAGTGACGACTATATATAGACCGCTTGACACACTCCGATCCAGACGTGAATGAAAGTACAGTCATCGTGGGCCTGTGTCGCTCGCCATTGTCTTGCTCTTTCTGTGTTCTTGTTGTACCTAAGTATTGCGTTGTGTCGTTTTCGTTTGTGAGTAAGTTTGGCATACAATTAACATAAATTTCGTATTCGCTACGATATATCGTAAAAGTGGCATTAAGCCCGCTAATGGCTGTCGGCATCATCCGAACGAACCACACCTCGAGCTGAGACGAAACAAGCTGAGATTTGGTTGCGGGTTCATGCTGGTCAAGCGAAACATATGCGTCCGAGTGGATTATTCACTCCGATAAGGGGCTGGTGATAAGCAGAGCCAGCGAGGTGACTGTCTATGCCAAGACTTTCATCCAAGAAGAGAGACTCTGAACAGGGAACAGGTGTCACTTGGATCGATAAGCTGAATGCAACACTTACGGCTCGAGTGATTGATGAGGGCTTAAAGCTGCACAGAAAGAAATAAAGCAATACGTTTTGTTTGTTTTACAATTTTTTAAAGTGTTTACGAGGGATTCATGATATCCAAAGAAATATTTCAATTAAAGCATTCCGAAAATTTTAATTTCAAGAGGATTGCCACTTTTAATTGCTTACTATAATTTATTTTATCTTGTCTGATTTATAAATATTTTCTAGATATAAAAAATAAGACAACTTCTGTTTAAAAAGAAATATTCAAAAATTACTATTATTTTTAAACTCGTTTCAAAACCTTAAAAACACAGGAATGAATCTAATAACTTCAGAGTTTCTTTCTCTGCAAGCCATACACTCACTGGCTTTATATTCCTTTCAAAGTCGGTGGCAAAATCGTGAGTCAGAACGGCTGACGCGATTATTTCGGTGAAAGATTTTATAGTTATGCTTTTTAATTTATTTCATTTATGCGTAGCATCATTCGCCGCCGACCACTGGCTTTATTTATGGCTCTGTCAGCTTTTCAAAATGGGCGCATCAATCAGGGAAATGAGTTGCGAGACAGATCGGACGACTGACCGAGAAAGAAATGTAAATATGCATGTGCCATATGCTACTTACATATGTATATGTTATATATGATATACCTGCTGCCTGGCCCTGACAATGATCAATGACGAACCCCATAAAAGCCGAATGGCTCTAGGTATATGGCTTAAATTGCGAGTTGGTGGGCGTCCCGGCTTTATATGTTTGCACTTAAAATTGTAAAAGTCGCGGGGCCATTATAGCCAGCGGACAACTTTATGGGCTTTTGGGTGAAAGATCACCATCGCATCGCCGGGGATGGGGCCGCGCCACAAAGTCTGGTCGGTCGATGAGTGGCACAAAAGAAAATTACTGTCTCGCAAATTAATAAAAACCTAATTTATGCTAATTAGCCATGTTGGAGTTGTTGCTGTTGTAGGAGCTAATTTTGGTTTTACATAAATGCGATTGATCCAGCGAACAGGTATGCAAATTAGGCGGGGGAACGAACTGGGGAGTTTTATATATATTTTTTTTGGGGGGCCAAATCAGAGAGCAAGCAGCCTCTCACTGCAGATATATCTATCGATCATTCGGCTTTTGGATATGACAAGCTCTACTTTTGATCTGGCTGCGGTAAAAGTTGCCACTTAGCACCCCAGACCCCAGCGTTATATCCAAACCACTAAAATCGGAGTCCGATCCCAAGCCCAAGCTTAAAGACTAAGCCAAAGCCAAGGCTTCAACCGGTTCTGGCTTCGGCAAATTAATTAATTTGCATTTGTATATGTAGCGGTTCATTCTTTATGGCCAACAGCGCTTGCCAACAAAGCTTCCCATTTGGCTTAATGGCCATTTAAAATTTCACCGGAGATCTAGTTTGTATTAATCCCAAACAATGGGGAACTGGTCGCTCCACCGCGGCTGGTGGTAAGCTAGTCGTCCTGTCCTGCTGCTCCACCAGACACGCTGGCACCGCTGGCTTCGGATCGCCACCGCGAAATGTCACCGGCCGCGATAAATAAGCGATTGCCGTGTCATAACTCAGGCGCACGCGTGCACGGTCCGAGATACGGACCGAACGGATCGTAGATACTGTATCTCTGTATGTTTGCATTTGTATGGCCTTTTCTCTTTTTTTTTTTGTTTGTTTTTGTTTTTGTTGCCTCTCAGCGGCGGTTCATTTTGTTTCGTTAACTTGGCTCTTAGCGACACGTGTTTCAAATGTTCGCCGTGTTTAATTTGTATGTAGTTTTTGTTGCGGCCTGTGCCAATTTATTTCTTTATTATCCGAGCGTATAATCTATGGTTTGGTCAGCCTTTTAAATTCAAATTAGCAAAAATTAAATGCACGCGACAGAGTGGGGCACACGGAGGAAAAATATTGATTTTATGGATGGGAATACTAAAGGGTGACATACCATATATTATTAGAAGACTTTCTGGCACGGAAATGTTGTGGGAATCGAGCCAGTGTGGCAACTCGATAAGTTTTATCGCCCACATTTTTCAAACAACCGGGCTGTTAAAGTTACGATCCTGCCAAATCGCTAATATGCGATAGGACCTAAAAAAGACCACAAAAATTCGCGAACAGGATTTTTGCAAGCCACGGTCACATTGGATCCCCTCACTTCCGTTCTCTTTCTCACAAGGCGTCCCCGAGTTCGGATTAATTTTTGTCGATCCTAAATCCGCAAGCATCGTGTCGATCCGACAGTATTTGTTAAAGCGAATCATACCCATATTAAGTAAATTTAGTGCTCTAACGTATATTGGTAAGCTTGTGTGAATAATCGATCGCCGGAGTGCTAATTTTGCCTTTTCAAAACAGCGTCAGCCGTATCGGCAGAGTCGTCCAAGCGACCGGCATTGTTTTTGCCAGCAATTGTCCACCACGTGAGGTGGCAGTCATTTGTGGCATTCATCGTTGGCATTGTCTGTGGCTTCTCAGCGGGATCAACGCCACGTGTCATCGGAGCATTCGCACGCACAGCGTGGGGCTGCGCTTCCCATTTCGGCGGCCATACACGTGCCGATTGCGGTGATCCTCGATTTGGATTTTCTTTACCGCCTCGCTAACGTGTCACCGTTCCCTCACACGGCGCGCATATTGGATCGCCGTTCCCTCACACGGTGCACATATTGGATCACCGTGCTTTTCTTCGGCGCACCTATTGGATCGCCGTGTGTCTTTTTCGTGGCCACATCGTTCTTTGCCACATCGCCGTGCATCTTTGCCACATCGCGTGCGCTCTGCCGCATCCACACCTTGGCGGGCTGGTCTCGTTCCGCTCACGCCTCACGCAAGGGATTGCGGCCATCCCTGTCGCACATAGTGCGTGTCATCTTCATCAGCGCGAACGACGGAAGTAGCATTACATATCCGTATTGAGAGCTGGTGGCTGATCCGGCCCACACTCTGCTCCAGGAGCGGATAAACATGAATGATAGTGTCTAAAATATAATTAATTTTGCATATAGGAGCTTTTGATTTAAGAATTCGTACTTATAAACCTTTTCGGTCGTAATTTAGCAATTTTTTTTGGGAGATTTGGCAATTATAATATCGTTTTGTCCCTCAAATAACTTAAAACACATACAGCTACACATCACCAGTCATCAGGCCTGCTGACGTCGATGGAGAAAGCGTGAGTACGGCCTAGCCGCAAAACAACAAAATAAAACTGAACCCATCCTTATAATTTCGCCAAGACTTCTGAAATAGTTTGCACATCTTAATTAATTAATTGATTCAAAAGAATATTAATAAGTTAATCTATTTAATGTAAAGTAAAAAAGGAAAAAGCGTTCTTTCTTATCTTAAATTTTATTTCCTTTCATTGGATCTAAAACAAACTGACTCAATAAGAGGTCTCGTAACGTAAATAACGTAAACTTAGGCTTAAGGATTAGATTTAGGAAAATGTCTTTCAATATTATCTCAGCCTGCAATTATATGACTTTGAAAATGAACTAATTTGATATCTTGTTGGGCACCTAAGGGGATGTAGAGCATTGGTTGTATAAGGGTGGAGCCTGAATGGACTTCACAGGTTGGGAGGGTTTAGATTGAGGCCAATAACATCGGAGCCTCATCTTCAATAGGTACACTTCCTTCGTCTGATTCATATTATTTACCATATCCCCAGCTAGAGTATCTCTGTCTACAATATTAGTTATGTAGCACCATTGTTCATGTCAACACAAAACCCACGCCCATTTTCCCTGAGCCTGCCGAGCAGAAAAAGTAGACAGAGCGTGTTGAGGTGGACAACGCTCGGTGAGTGTGTTTGTTACATAATTAATTGGCGCCCAAACGTTAAGGCCAGCCCGATGCCTGATTAGGCACCTGTCGTTTGACAGCCGAGCTTCCCGTTAATATTCAAACCATCCACTTCTAGTTTCCGTTTAGTATTTCAAATTCTGTCCTGGAATTGATGGCATCTGGATAGGTTCGGAGCCATACCGGAGGAAACGTAATACTTTTAACTGTTTTTTTTCTATCAGTTCGGTAATAATCGAACATTATAGTTAAAAGAACATTCCAATTTGAGTAATTGATTCCTTGGAATTATAGTTCTGATTCAAAGTCGGTTCTATACCAGGATTTCAATATTCAAACACTACCTTCTTATCAGTTAGGATCGAGATTTTATCTGGCTGGATAGATTCGGCTAGTTACTCTTCTAATTGGTAAGACAAAATAAATTGATATTTATTTTACTACCCTTTATTTACATTCCGTTTACAACATTTGTACCTATTGAATGACACAACCAATTGCTATACTACCCAGGGTAAGACCTAAACTGCATTTCTCATTTATCGTATATCGTATTCATCTCGAACGACCAGTTTGTTTTCGTTATATCGTATCTTATCTTATCTTACCGTATCTCATTTCGTTTTTTTTTTGTTTTATATTTCGAAAAGCGTCAAAAATGTTGACACACAGCAATGAAAATTTAGTAGATCTTCAGACTGATGAGTCTGCAA